TCATGACCTGCCAACTTATGTTGGCTCAAGACTTGATCTTGCCTGCGGCATAAAGGACTTGTGTTGATGCAGCTTAGGAACACTTAGGTGTGCCTTGTGTGTATCTACGTGGAAGACCTCAGTTACTTTTTCAGTATGTATGTATGTATGTATGTAAGTATGTATGTATGTATGTATGTAGGTATGTATGTATGTATGTATGTATATGTGTGTATGTACTACCTCTCAACGGACAGCAACTTGTCCGCTCAAGCAGGCTCGGGTCCCAGCAAGGCCCAGCCGGACGCACCTCCCACATCGATCGCGTAATGGTGTTGGCGCAACCGAATACAAAGGAAAAACCTTGTTTTCCTTCCCACTCGCGCAAACATGCTTTTCGCTTCGTCGCGGATTGTCGTTCTGTCTTCTTATCCTCTCTTCGCCCCATGTCTTCTCATCTCGGCGGGCGACTGCATCCTAATCTCACTTAGATTTTGGTTAAGCTACACATGTGGGGTTCTCCAGTCCTCTAACTCTTAACTAGATGGAATGAACCTGAACTCCGCTAATCCCAACCTTAACCTTATGCTGGAGTTAACTTGAACTCTCACTTGGAGTTCAAAGGTTCAAGTTACTTCCAATTTTAACCCCGGAGTGGGATCAACCTGAACCAAGTTAAATCCAACCTTAACCTCACGTTTGCGTCAACTCGAACATTGATCCGGGGTTCAGAGCTGAAGGTAACTCCAACCCCAACTGCACGCAGGACCTTCAGTTTGGAATTGGCAATAAACACATTTGTCATCAGCAATAGCAGGGCATCACGTTGTTTTGGGATGTCTCATTGGTTTTTACTCGGCCTTGCGATTGCCTCTTGAACCGGGGGCTAGCTCTTCCTCACTGCAGCCCAGAATTCATGTCAGACTAAGCCAATGCTGTGGGCCGGAACCATCAGGTTCGTGCCAGTTTCGAATATCAGCTTTCCAAGCAGATAGCATTAATTGTAGACTTCGCATGGAGTCACAAACATGGTGGGAGTTTGCTCCACGTCTGGGATCGACACAAATGTACAACTCGCTGGATTGCCCCTCCTTTACGAGTTCATTCAATTGTGACAGACAGTTTTTTGGAAATTGACACAAAACATTTTTCGGCCCCCCAATTCAACCCTTACTGCCGCAGTTCTGCCATTGTAGGCTCTTCTCTGCAAGCCTCTTCATCTGGGACTTGCAAGCAACCCGAACGGCATGCTTGCAGCGTCCGTTGTGATGGAACTGATGACGTTAGGTTCGATGCCCTATGAACTGTTTGTTTTGGAGTCGTTCGGCGTGATCTAGCACGGAGGTTGCCAGTCTGAATGTTCGACCCACTTCGCATGGGTCGGACATTTGATTCAGATATGGTTTGTCCCTCAGTGAAATATTGCCTGGAGAGTCTTCGTGTTATGCATGCTTGTGATCACACGCATGCTCGTTGCATGTGAAGAAGTGGTGACATGTTTGATTGCCATGCTGCAGCTTCATGCATCGAATTTGAGAGTGGCAATCTCTTAAAGCATTTGCGGTCCGAGCAAGACATGTATTCTTGCGCCATTATCCTTTCTCATGTGCAGTTCACCATGTTTCAGCGTGTGGAACAGCTGACATAAAAGCCAAGCACGCAACGTTGATGGGCAATGTGCAGCAGGCCTTGGCTTTGCTTCAGCCTCCCACAATAAATAGGAGAAGCTATGGTTGTTCTTGACATGCAAAGCTGTGTTGGGCCCGCTTGGTGGTTGCCGTGCAGATTTTTGGCATGGCTGCGGTCTGAGAGCCAACAGCTGTGATCGCAGGTGTTTCGCGACATCACAGAAGAAGGCAATGTGTGGAATGAGGAGAAACTGTCCAATACTTGCATGGCAGCCACGCTTTTATGCTGGTGCAGGACAAAATCATCATCCCTGCACATGCCGAAGTGCTTGGCGACCAAGTGCTGCCGAGGTCGGCGCACGTAGTACATGAAGTCTTGTTAGGATTCGCTGTGCAAGGCAGATAGGCCATTTTCTGTTTTTGCGTCAAACGTGTTGATTGCTGGTAGTTTGTTCCTGGCGCCCGATGCTGCCAGCCTCGCTCCCAGCATGCTTGATCTCTGCAGGGCAGGCACGCTGTCATGTTACAGTTCCGTGAGAGAACACTTCAACCTTGTCCAGCACAGGCTTGAAAGCTTCTGCATCAAGAGCATCGTTGACAGGCCGTAGCCCAAGACAAAGGTGTCAATCGGTCTCATTTCTCATGATGTCCAGCTAGCAGCACATGTCATTTCTTGTCCTCGGTGTTTGGGATTTTCGTTTTTGGTTGTGTTTTGTGAAGGACGACCTTCGCGAAGGGTACAGTTTGCGCGGTTGCGTCTCAGGATCGCATCGGTCAGGCTCTTCCAGGTGCTTGAGTTTTTCTGATGATTCGGACGGTTTCACAAAGGAGGTATCGCAGTGAGCTCAGCTTTGTCCTGCAGCTGCAGGTGAAGCCGATGTATTGTGCAAAAGATCACAAATGCTGAGACATGCTGAGACCACAACACGGGCCGTGATACGTTCTTATTTGTTGTCAGGTTTGCAAGCTTCTTCGACAACCTCCCATCACAGGCCACAAACTCAAGCCACTACTTGTTCTGCAGCTTATGTTCGCGCTGCCTTCGAGGTGGTCCTGAAGACCACCGGCTCCTTTGCCCGTGCCTCGGCAGAGGACCTGCCGCATTGTGAGCCTGAGCCACGTCAGTCTGACTCTGGCAGGATCTTTCTCCGAGCCGTCGCTTGAAGCAGCGCTGGCTTCCCCTGCGGCACCGAGCCAAAGCGAGCTGTTTTCAAGCATTAGACGCAGGACGGAGGCATCCTGCACTCATTTTGGCAAGGCCCGAAAGCAGACGGCTGCTCTCCGAGGCCCAATGCACGCTCCAGTCTGCCGCCAGAGTAGCAGAACAGATCGACTGATACATGAGACCGTTTACTTCATTGCATGGACTGCGAGAGAGTGCACTCTCATGGTGCGTTTCAAAGCAGGACTCGGTGCTGCAGGATTTTTCAGCCATGAGATGAGGCATGTGCAGACTAAGCTCTGAAGCATGATAAAGCATGATACAGCATGACAAGGCATGACAAAGCAGGATTCTCTACAAACACATCCTTTGCGCCCGGATTCATTCGGATCACCCGGATCATGGATGCTGTCTTCACCTGGCTCCAGGGAGCTGGATCCGCTCAGCTGCCCAAGACGCATGATGTATCACCTACAGGAAGCGCGTACCAGTCGCCTGTCTGAAACAAGGTGTAGACTGCCGCTGTGGCATTTGAATCCTTAAGAAAACAAAAAGTGTGACATGCCCGGATCATCAACAACCTCACATCACCCTCAACAAACACGAGATGGTGACAGCGTGGAGAAGCGTGCTGATTGCATTGCATGGATCAGTGCCAGACCGCAACACAGGCTTTGAAAGGAGATTTGCCGTGTATATAGTTCAAGAAGAGAGGAATTTCTCTGGTGTTGCAAGCATATCTTGTACGCACATGCAAGGATCAAGATTGTCAAGGCGGGCAGCAACTAGAACATGACATACGCCTCTGAGCTCCATGACATGCATGGAATGTGTAGAGTTGAAACTGCAGAAAGGAACACATGTGATGTTTGACTTCTGCTTTGTGAGATTCCGAAGTCATAGCATCTCAAAGACGTATAGTCCACATTGAATCCTTGACGCAGCTCCTCAGCGACAACTACATGCTCCCCGGCTTTGTTTTGTTTTTAGGCGGAGCTTCCATAATCATCTCGTGAATCAGGTACTTGGTTATAGCGACGGGTTCCGCACAAGCAGTCGCCATTGATTCCGCAGATGGCGAGAAGACGGCAGCATTGTGCCAGTCTCTTGAGGCTCATACTTGCAGTTGTGATAGATATTGTGCTTGATGCACATGACTTTGTTTTGCAGCTGCTTTGAACACCGATGGAGCCTCCGATAGGTGAACCTTGTTGCTGTGCTCACTACTCACTACCATGCAGATCACTCAGGCCGCTGGTTTGTTTATACTCTTCTGGTACGCGACTGTAGCCAACTTCGCACAGCTTGGAGGTGGCAACGCCTTCCTTGCCGCAGCAAAGCCCGGCCTGGAGGTTATTGCTGGGGAGCGGGATGCCGAGCCTTTTCAGAGCAAAAACGTGTCGACCAATCCATCGAAGCCTCGCTGCTGCAGCGGCGAAGCCTTGCTGCGCTGCTGCGAGCAAGGACCGCACTCCGGCCGTGACTCGCCAGGTCCGTGATGGCGAAACGTTTCGGCTGGCAGGCTGGCCCAGAATTTTGCCCAAGCAGCTCCTTGGAGCTCTGCGCCTTCTGCGCAGGTCTACCTTTTCGCTGTGTGGCTACGCCCTGTCACACTCGTGGCCACGTCGGATTCTCATTGCCATCTCTGCAGCGTTTCTTCTAGCGTCTTTGTGAAAAAGCTACTTATTTGTTTCGAGGTTTGCTTTTTCCTGGATGCTGACGATGGACAGGAGACGAGCTTAAGCTGACCAACCACTTAGGGCTTGCAGCAGGCAGTGCAGGTAACGGGTTTGCAGGTTGTTTCAAGTAGGATTTCTGAGGCCCCAGCGCTGTTTTCCGGTGATGCCCTCTTCGTTGCCGGCTGTGGCAGGTTCATGGAAGGCTAGTGTGCTCATTGCTCACTTTTTGGAAACTTCGAGCTAATTGTCAGATTTCCCTTGGAGGCACAGCCGTATCAATGAGTCGAACACTTCGAGCCCTGGCGGCGCTGCCGGGGGAAACTCGAGTCTTCTGCGGTCACGAGTACACGGTGCCTGTTCTTGAAGCCATTCTATCAGACACTATGCCAAACCTAGTCTGTGCACGTCCAGTCAGGTTGGGAACCTGGAATATGCTCTGTCCCTGGAGCCATCACGCGAATTCCTGCGCGAACGCCTGGCAAAGGCCCAGGCCCAGCGGTCACAGGGTCTGCCCACCGTGCCTTCGACGCTGTCGGAGGCTCGCAAACTGGCAAGACATGCCCCAGCCTTGCTTTGTAATTTGTGAGCCATGCTTGTCAGGAGCTAGAGCAAAATCCATTCTTCCGAGCTTCGAATCCCATTTTGGCTGCGGCGGTGGACTGTGATGGTCTCGACGAGCTTGCAGTCCTCAACAAGTTGCGCCGAGGATGCTCGTCTAGTTTGTTCCTTCTGACTCTGGATGGCAGCTCCCACCTCTACAACCAAGGAAAGGACACCTTTACATTTCCAGGCAAAATCATCACCATGGTCCTTGATGTAAGAAGCTACTTCTACCCGCCTGCTGACGATGAGATTGCCTGAGCTACATTCACCACAACACAATGCGAGCTCCAAAGATGAGTTCAAAAAGTCACGAGCTGAAGGAACACATTTCAAGGCTCAGTCCGGCCTCGGACTTTCACGCCTTAGTTGAGGGTTTGATCATTTCACTCCACCTGTGCCAGGCCCGAATAAGACTGGTGAGGCCGTCGCTGCCCGTCACTTGCCGCCACTTGCATGCACTCGATCATGAAGCGTATTGCACGCATGATGCGGTGAGCTCGATTATGACTGGATTTTGCCTAGAGCTTGCTTTCTCCAAGATGCTCGGCTCCAATGATGTGTGCTTCAGCTGAGGAATGGCAAGTGCCTGGAGGCTTCTGTATGACCCGCGAATGCACGGTGTCTCCATTGGCACCTTCTTTCGCCAGTGTCAGGCCCGGTGCAGTTGTCTGCCCGTCCATAGTGACCAAGGTGATCACTGCTGTGAGCTGTTTGTAGCCTGACATTCTGCCTGGATGTGTTCCAGAGATTTGCAAAGCACACGCCAGCAATCTTCCCCCGTTTTGGTTGTTTTGGCAGGCATGGCCAGGAGAGACTCTGCTTCTGATCGAGGACTGTGCAGATCTGAGTTATTCAGCAGTCAATCCAGGGTATGGAATTTTGTAATTTGGACAAATGCAGATACGCAGGACTCACCCGATGCCATGACAAAGGGGCATGAACTCAATAAGTGCCCATGTTCTAGCAACGCTACAATTGCCGATCCAGGAAACCCAGGAGTATCATTGCATTCTGTGTCCTGAGATTTCTCAGCATCACTAAGCAAAGTTTATTCTTTTCAAAGGAACACCCTCCAGAGTAGCAATGCCCCAGGAGAACTTGCCCATCCGCTCAGAGGATTGTACCCTTTTTAGAGGGACGCTGCAGTGAATGATCCTTGTTTCAAGAGGCGGGAGTTGCCCCAAACGATCTCTTTCTAGGATCCCTGAGAAGACCCTTATGCTCCCCGCATACTGCCTGTGTCCTATCCCTGGGGTCCCCGCTGCAAACCTCATTGTGAGAATGCCCCCCAAAAATGTCTTGAGCCCACAGTAAATTTGCCCAGGATGCCCGGGGTGTCGTTTTTGGTGCCATGGCTTCCCAGGCCTGGCATGTATTGGGCTCAGGATGGTACTTTAAGGGTTTTGGCTTGTTGGAACTGCGCGCGCTAGTAGCAGAATCTCTTAAAGCCGTGAGGAACACTGGCAGGGTGCAGCGCTTTTTTGGGATTTGTGTTGGGGCGTACGGGACTTTCCAAAAGGGATCTGCTTGTTGGAGATGTTATTTTTCGAGGTCGGTTTTCTAAATTACGCTAGAGTCTAACAAACCCTGGGAAACATGGGAAACAATCTCAAAATAACTGGAAACCGTAAGCAACTCAAACCCATGAACTAGCTTTTAAAATGTGACAGCATAGCCGCAATGCATGCCGCACGGCTGTGGTCCATTTTGAGGGCTGGAGCCTTTTCACTTTTGCCTTCTTCCTGCCGGCTTTGCTCCAACAAGCCCTTGAGGGGCAAAGCAGGACCTGTGCCTCAATCCATGATGTGGATGATGATTCCGAGCATGTGTGTCTCGCTTCCAGTGACCTAGCTGCTCCAATGGAGTCCCGCTTCTACACGATCACAGCCATGTGAGGATTCAGGGATAGCCGTTAGTCACCTTTTTGCGCTTGAGCGATCAGTGCGCAGCTGCCGAAGCTTCGGTAAGTGACTCCATGTGCACAGCATCATGCCGAATTGTGCTCGTTGGCTGGAGAAGGCCGGTCGGCTGGTACTGGATGAATTCGTTGCATTTTGGGGGACTGCCCATGGCCGCAGCTTGCAGCGTTCTGCGGATTCGAACCATGCGACCGCTCAAAGACCAAACAGTGCAGCGAGCTGCACGCTAATGAAATTTGCGCTCAAGCTGTGCAGTCCCCACAGCCCGACTGCAATCCCGGCGCCAAGACTTCCAAGAGCGATGCGTTCAATGTTTTTACATCGAAAGCCATTATGAGCCAATTGCCGATGCCACGCTCGGGGTCCTGAGTGTAATAGTGCTGCATGTGACATTTCATGACATGCATGTTCTCAGTTATGCAGCCCCCACGGTCGAAGATTGCGCAAGAATATTTTAGGCCTAGCGGCAGGGGCCGGCCCTGCCGCCTTCCGGCAGCCCGCCAAGAGCCAGCATCATGAGCATGATGGGGTTTGTTTGGGCGCTTAACCCACCCATAAGCACAACCCAAAGGGCAGCATTAAGCCCCCCATAACCAAAAAGGTTAGCCCCCCCCGGTACAGTAAGCAAACCACACATGGCACGGCTAACCCCCCATAAGCAAAACCCAAGAGCCAAACTAAGCCCCCCCCCCCGTAAGCAAAACCCAA